CAAGCATATTTGTAAAATTAACTTAGGTTTTTAATTTTTTATGGAATCACAAAATTCATGTTTGTTGCAATGATATTCAACACAACTTTAAAATGTCGCAAAACTCTCCTTAAAGTGCAAATGTTTTATTTTATTTAAGTAAATATTAGTAGAATTTTGATATTTTTTGAGCCACCCTGTATGCTGTTTGACTTGCAACTATTCTAAGTGCACCTAATATGATTATCAGACATGCACCAACTTTTGGCCTTGTTTGTATTTTGATTGTGCTATTACTGAAAAAAAATCCCATATGTTGCACACTTAAGTAATGATACTGTAGGTTCGTCCCTACCTGACGGTGTATTACATGGTTGCAACATTTATTTTTATTCTGTAATTTTTTTTTAAAAAAGTTAAGATTTGAAGAAATAATATTTTTAAATAGGTGGTTTTCCTCATACCTATTAAAGCAGGGATGTGCCGTAGACTATGAAATCTACTTTACGCGGTTTGTCTACTCGTTGTTTACGTATTGTTTACATCCACTTTTTTCCATGTAGACTATGTAAACTATGTAGACAATGTAGACAACAGAAAATTTGAAATTTGAGTAATTTTTTTGAAAGTTTGCATTGCAATAAATTTATATTGTATCAAATCAGACATTCTGCAGTTTAATTAACTTTACAAAGCAAAAAACAAAACAAAGCAAAAACAGAAACCTAACCTTAAAGGCCTGCCAACTGTCAAAAATTGTATACTTTACGCGTTGTCTAGTTGTCTACGTATTTTACACGTTGTCTACATATAGTATTTTTAATACCTATTTAGAAGTACCTGTCGTTTTAGTGACTAAACGTATGTCTCTTCTTGACACATAAATAAAATTAGGTTAGGAATTTCCTATTTGTAGATGAAATTGACGTATTAGCAATCGACGTTCGTTTTTGTTGGTAATTTTTTCTTTCATCTGATTCGTGATTGATAAATAAGGATGAGGTTATTCTAAATGGGTAGGGTATTACAAATACTATAGATTACATAGTTTACATTGTCTACGCATTGTTTACACCAGACGTAGATAATCTTTATTTACGCGTAGATGCCCATCCCTGTATTGAAGTAATGATGAAAATATGGATCAGTCGAATATTTTCTTAAGGTGTTTAAAAATCTTATATTATTTGATGAAATTTTTAGTCCACGCGTTATCCAAACGTTAATAAGGACCAGGGAGCTATACCGTCTTGATCAGTCAATATAGTTCCACTTTAGCTTTCGGAAAAAATTGAAAATTAATATTCTTCCAACTTTAGGTTTTCTTGGGTGCTTGATTTTGAGACAAAAAAAAATTGTGTCGCCAACATTGTGACAAAATTGAGATCTTAAGAAGAATAAATATTTTGGTAACGTGAATAATTCTGTCACATCTTAGTTTACGTGGGTACCATTATTATGCTGAAAATTAAATTTAATCTGAAAAGGATCCTAAATACCAAATTTTCCGAACCGGAGGCAATCCAAACAAAAACCTCACTTCTTCTCTTCTTCGGTTATGGTTAGTGCAAAGGGTTATAGATTCAAGATGACTTACCCTTTTATTGCCAAAGTTGCTAACTCCCCTCCTCAATTGCACAAACCGGCACGAAAGATCTTTTTCGGCCACTACCAGTGATTAGAGCAATTTATGACACCAAAAATGAAAACTCCTTTTTTTAAAAGAATAATAGTTATTTATTATACAAGGGAAAAAAGTACTAGATTTTAGCGCGAGGTGTGGTTTGTCTCCCGACGCGAAGCGGAGGGAGACAACACAGCGAGCGCTAAAATCTTACTTTTTTTCCCATGTATAATACACTATTTTTTTCTGTGACGGGAAAATCTCAATATTTTCTATTTACACATTATTCTCTGTACCTGTTACTTTTTTCCCTCGGGAAAAAAAATTGACTGGTACCTGTTACTTTTTTCCCGTGGGAAAAAAAATCACTTTTTTCCCATGGGAGAAAAAGTGACATTTTTGCCCCTGTAAACAGGTACAAAAAGTCTACTTTTTTCCCGTCACAGAAAAAAAAATAATTTATTTAAGAGAAGAATGAATAATAAAAAAAAAATTAATGAAGACAATGTTTGATTTCCAATTAAAGGTTTAGACTAAAAAAATAGATTTTAAAAGAAATTGAACTGAAATAAACCATCACCTTCTTGGGAGAGCTTTTCCACTAATCACTGAGTGGTAGATGAACTTAGGAGAAGAATGGATCGAGCGACGAATGTGACGAACACTAACTCGTTAAGTTTTTTGTTTTATTCTAACAATTTCCGACGATAACTGCCGATAACTGCATCAACTCTCGCTTAAATAAGCGAGAGAGAACATACCCATATTTCTTGAGGGTACTGCTCTTAGCAGCTCATTGGCTAGCTGTTAGTACCTAGCCCTCTCAATATTCCTTTTTGCTCTTTCCTTATTGGTTCTCGTATCGTTCACCCTATTTACACCCTTAGTGACATAGTTTGAAAGACTTCCAATAGAGTTCGCTAGTCATATGAAGAATATAATTTTAATAACTGAAAATTACCGTTTTTCCTTTAATTGGAAAATCTTTCTTTGTTATATGCCTTCTGTTAACCTAGTTAAATGAAACAAACAGTTTCTTATAATTACTAATGTAACTGAGTAATAAACCCAATTAAAGTTTTTTTTTTTTAAAGATAATTCCCCAAGTCAAAAATTTACTAACTTTGTTGGCAACACAAACCTATCCTACATAAAAAAATTGAAAGCTTTAACAATTTTACATTGTATTGCCAACATAATGTCATTTTGACTTTTATCTTTAAAAAAAAACAGGCTTTACTTAGCCTAATTAACGGTGTGAAATGAATTAAATTATTCTATACCTAAATACTAATTATAGGTACCTAAAATAATTGGGTAGTTAACTATTTCCTTTCTTATCTTATTTGTTAATAACATTTAATTCCTACAGTTTTCATTTCACCCTTGATTTTCCTATTACTATACAATTTTGTGTTATTGTATCTTCGAAAATCTGGTTCCCGTAATCATTGTTTTAGCCCACACACATGCTTCGAATATAAGTTCAGTATCAGCTCTCTGACATCTGGGTTCGCCATAAAACGTTGGGAATTATCTTTCTTGAATACTTTATTACAAACATATGTCGTGATCTGGTGCAGCTACAGATTAGAATCACATTTGGTGTTTATCTAGGAGAACACATAATTTTGCCTAATAAATTTGTCAATTATGGCTTATATTTGACTTGAAACTATAAAATATGATACATTTTTTTGCTTTAAGTGCTTTCTCTTAATTCTCGACCAGATTAGTTATCGTTCCCTGAATCGCCTAGGGTTGTTAAATTCCCGAGAATATAAAAAAAGGAAATATTTCCTGGAAATATCTCCGAAACTTTGAGAATTTATAAGAAATATTGGAAATTTATGAAATTTATTAGAATATTCACAGGTTTGAGAAAATTTCGGAAATTTAAGATATATTTCGGATATTTAAGAAATATTTCGGACATTCAGGAAATATTTCCGGATTTCGAATATAATTCATCATAAGTTCTCTGTAAAATTTGGAGATTGGGATTGGGATAATCGATAATGATAATGTAAAAACATAAATAAATAGGTATTTAACTCTATTTATTCATAGGGCTAAAAAAAAAGGCGTTTATAGACTAGGTACCTATTAAACATTGCAACAACCAATAATAACTAAAATCACAACATTTTTTGGTAGGTATTTTATTTGTTTTAAAAAATATTATCTAATTAACAAAACCAAAATAAAATACACTATTCATTTGAAAATAGCAGAATAGGTAGGTACCAAAAAAAAATTTAATTCCACACCCCTATATACAATTTGGACGGATTTCTTCAATAAGACATTTGTCCGGAGGAACTTTTCATCGTAGTAGGCACATAACTACTACACCTATCAAATATTCCTATAAAAGTCAAAAGAGCTAGGTACCTAAATGAGATTCAATAAAATAATGAAAGAAATAAAATCACTTGTCGAGACTTGAATCGAATCATTACATTACGAAACCCAAACGAACCCAAACCACTAATACCAGCCGGTCGATACTCGTTAGTATACAACATCGGTTGACAGTGGTTGTGGAACCCAGCCTTAAATATTTCAAAACTGAAATGAGAATTTATGGTGGGTTCCGTTGTCAACCTTGGTTACGGTTACACGTTCCGTAATGTCTGGTTCCTGAAAAAATATTTCGGAAATATTGAAAAATGAAATGTTTCGGATATATTTCATGAAAATTAAAATATTTCGGAAATATTTCAGGAAAAATAAAATATTGCATAATTTCTCTTAAATTTCATAAATTCTCAAATCTTCAAATTTAGCAAAAGGAAATATATTTCCGAAACTTTCCGGGAAATTTCCTTTATATTCTCCGACATTTATTTCACTCACAACCGTAGAATCGCCATATGTTTATAAAACCCATTAAGATAACATTTTAACTATTTCTAAAAACCGTCTCTGGTAACTCCCGTGAAATACGTACTTGAACCGAGATTTGAAATTTACTATTAATTCTGTTACAACATCTAGGAAATCGATCCACCCCCGGTTTATCCCCTCCAATTAGATTGGAGGCGGAGGGCAAATGACTACTGGCAACGCCGGTTTTGTGAAACACGCGTAACACACGCTGCATTTGATTGACATGTCAACGCGTCCAACGAACGTATGTTATCATATTATGAGTTTAGAGCTTAGAGCAAGTGAAGGTAAAGAGGAGTAGTAACATGGAGTTGCAAAATGACGGGTTCAGAAAGGTGGGCGGGTCTTGTCTACACCTCTGATGCATCCCCACCATGACCTCACTCGAGCAGCTCACCGCTTGGGCGGTTACACACGGACGTGGATGTCTTAATACATATACGTGCATACATCAACGTGCAACCAAGAACGAGCATTGCACTTTTGTACACACGCTCGTACAAAACTGCAGTCTTGCTATTCTTGCTACAGTGTTCCGAGTGTGCATACAAAATTGCACATTCAAAAACGCGACGATATTTTGTATACACATTAGGCGGTTACACACGGACGTGGATGTCTTAATACATATACGTGCATACATCAACGTGCAGACAACAACGTGCATGGCGCTTTTGTACAGACGCTCGCACAAAACTGCAGTCTTGCTATTCTTGCTACAGTATTCCGAGTGTGCATACAAAATTGCACATTCAAAAACGCGACGGTATTTTGCATACACATTGATGTTTTTGTTTGCGCGTTCACGTATGTGCGTACATGTTTTCAGACATCCACGTCCGTGTGTAACCGCCTCTTCTGACCTGGCCCATGGGGGTTGTCATCACATCACAACAACCAATCGCGTTTTTGAATGTGCAATTTTGTTTGCACATTCGGAATACTGTAGGAAGAATAGCAAGACTGCAGTTTTGTGCGAGGGTCTGTACAAAAGCGCCATGCACGTTGTTGTTTGCACGTTGATGTATGCACGTATATGCGTTAAGACATCCACGTCCGTGTGTAACCGCCCATTGATGTTTTTGTTTGCACGTTCATGTATGCGCGTACATGTTTTCAGACATCCACGTCCGTGTGTAACCGCCTCTTCTGGCCTGGCCCATGGGGGTTGTCATCACATCACAACAACCATCAGTTTACGAAGATGCGTTGTCTATCTATGTTAAGATATCATTGGGCATTCCCAAAAATCCCAAGGCTACTTGGCTCCAATCGGCAATCTGAAACGCCACCGCATTGGATGAGGTCAAGGAAAAATCCTGAAGTACTCTAGAGTAGTCCGGAGTACTCCTACAGCGGAACTGGCGGCGGCGGAAACGGCTCTATCCCTGACCGGCAATTTTAACCTCACTGTTTTGTTTGTATTTATTTATTTTATTTGAATGTTTTGTTTACTTAACTTGTGTTTTCGTTTTGTAACTCTGTACACAGTTTAATGTGTACAGGTTTGGTTTAACGATTTCAATTTTTACATCATCATTAATCATGTTAATCAAAATACATCACGAATTCACAAACAAACAAGTAATGTGACAGTGACACAAATACCCAATTTTATAAATAAAAAAAAAAGCTTTTGAGCCATGGGATCCTTGGATGTTGCAAAAGAACTGACCACAGATATTTCTAAGAAGATATTCAAACTTAAACCTCCAGACAGTAATGGGTAAGTCTTTGTAATGGACTTTATCGTAACTACTCACCTGTAAAGTATTCAATTTGTAGCTTATTATTAAACATTCTTACCTCCAACAACAAGAAAGCCGTAAGATTCCTACACTGCAGCTTTCAAAATAACGGCAACATTCTAGCCCTAGCGAGTAACGATGAACAAATTTATATCATAGATTTCCTGATGGGAAAATTCTGGAAACTGAAAAAACTTGACTCACGCACTTATATCAAGTTTTCAGAATGCAACGACAGTCAGCTTTTGGTTGGAAAATCCAATGGAGTACTGGAAATATTACACATAGACTCAGGAAATGTTTTAGCTAAGCTTTTAGGGCACTTGCATTCAGTTGTTTCGATATCTTTTACACAGAATAATAGGTGTCTGTCGTCATCTAAATATGAAGCTATTATTTGGGATTTGTTTAGTTATACTAAACTGCAAGTTTTGTCATTGGAAGTGGAGTGTGTACTCAAATTTGTAAGTATAGTCAGAATATTCAATAAAGCAATTATTGGTTGATAATTATTGATCACTGTACAGGGTGTCCGAATTTGGATGGTTTTAATAGGAAACGTCAATTTCGGAGCGACGTACAAAAAAATGAACCCCCCACTCCGAGGTTCGAATTTCTTGAAATTTTGATTGGTGCAAACCGCATTTTGATATCTTCAACCGTTTAGCCGCTAGAGGGCGATTCTCGATTTTGAGCAATACTGTGAAATCTTCATAACTTTTTTGTTTATGAAAATAACTGATTTTCGTAAAAACTTCCTAGAAGCACTTTTTCAAGCAGAATTCAGTGACGTTTTCAGTTTTTTTCTATTCGGCCTCGATTTCAAGATATTGACCAAAATACGATTTTTTTCAATGGGACACCCTATATATTAATAGTTCATTAGAAAGCTCTGCTTTTGCTGATTTCAATGATACAAATTTCGATAGGTTTATCTCTAACAGTTTTCGAGAAAAAAAATATTTCGGCTTTTGTCATAAGAAACAATGAGTTAGAAAGAGACCTTTCTCAGTTTCCTTACAGATATAAAGTCCTTTTCTTACACATTGCTTCTTATGACAAAAACCGAAATAATTTTTTGTCTCGAAAACTATTAGAGATAAACCTATCGAACTTTTATCATTGAAATCAGAAAAAGCCGAGCTTTCTAATGAGCTATTAATATATAGAGTGTCCTATTGAAAAAAACCAGACTTTGGTCAATATCTCGGAGTTGGGACCAACTAGAAAAAAACTGAGAACGTCACTGAATTCTGCTTTAAAAAGTGCTTCTAGAAAGTTTTTACGGAAATCGATAATTTTCATAAACAAAAAAGTTATGATGGTTTCACATTATTGCTCAAAATCGAGAATCGCCCTCTAGCGGCTAAACGGTTGAAGATATCAAAATGCGGTTTGCACCAATCAAAATTTCAAGAAATTTGTGCCTCGGAGTGGGGGGTTAATTTTTTTGTATCTTGCTCACAAATTGATGTTTCCTATTACAACCATCCAAATTTGGACACCCTGTACAGGGGTGATTCAAATTTGAGCCACATCATTAGGATCTCAGGAACCGTGATACATAGGGCTGCCATCCGTCCGGATTTCCCCGGATTTGTCCTAGTTTTAAAGGCGTCCGGCGACGTCCGGGGGGATTTTTTGAAGTTATCCGTGTTTTACGGCATCTTGAAAAAAATCACGAATAACTCCGCGAAATTGACAAGAATCATGAAAATCGTCAATCGACAGCATCAGTTTTATTTAGCCCGCGTGTGCGCGACTCAAGTTTCACGTTCACGTGTCGTTAGTCATGTTTGGAGCTCGGTGAAAGCTATAAAAAACCCCCAAAAAATTATTTTTGTGTCAAAATAATGAGTGGTTCTCGAAGGCTTGAAATAAACTTTTTTGGACGTGGCACCCAAAAAAACCTTCTGCCTCCAGCGGCGCCTAAGGTGGGCTACCCTTTAGTGGTGTCCGGGTTTGAGGGGTTAGAATCCGGGGTTTTTGTAAAAATTGTCCTAGGTAATGAATTTCATAAATGGCAGCCCTAGTGATACAGAGTTGGTCTAACATTGTAAATGAATAACAAGCGTAAGTCATTCAAATGAAAAAAATCCAGGACGGTATTAAAAAAAAAAGTTTATGATGATTACCATAAAATGAAATTTTCCAAAATATATCCAGAAGTATTCGTAATATCCTAAATATGGAAGCGGAATTTTGTTAGGCGCCAAATTACGCAACTTTACCCTAATTTAACCAACTCTGTATCTTCCTGGCTCGAATTTGAAGCACCCTGTACAAGTGTGAACAAGTCGGGACCTTCACAGGACTCAACATAACTGATATTAGTGATATTTCCCTGATTGTATTTACTTTTGAAACACGAAACCCTGAATAGCTCAAAACACCCAGCACTAAGTTATTCAAAAGTTTTTTGAAAATTTGCATTTGATTATTGAATATACCAATTATTGATACCTTAATTTTCCTACAGTAAATCACATATTATTTTAGGTTTTATTTGTTCCAGTATCAAATCATATTCTTGTATGTTACAACGACGATATTATTCAAATATGGCAACACAGTAGCTTTGAAAATCTGAAACAGTTTCACCCGTCTAACTGGAGAAATCATTCAGTCAGATCTCTGAGCTTCACTAAAAATGGCAAAATAATGGCTGTAAGTGGCTTCCAGCCAATTCTAGCCATATTCCAACTAGATATTTGGAAATTGCTGAAAATAATTAATCTACCAGAATACATAAATTCTGTAAGAAAAATACAATTTATTTCCCAGCATTTTGACGGCGGATGTAATAAATTGATAGCTATTCTATCTGGAAATGGAATTATATATTTTTACAATGTAGAAGAGAACTTTCTGATATCAAAACTAAACACAAAAGGTGAAATAGTTAGCTTCAGCATTCCTCATGGACATATACAGTACATTTCATGTTTATTGTGTACTGGTGAAGTGGAAGTTTACGATATGAACTTTTATTTGATGAAAAATCAAGAATTGACTATTGTTAAAGCACAAGATAGTACGTCCAAAGTGAGATTGAGAAATTTTTGTAGGAAAGACACGACGACCAAATTAAGGGTAATTTAACATATTTTTGTATTTTAATAACTGTAGAATGCATTTTCTACTCACCCAGAAGTGCTAATATTGGTTCAGGGACATTATACTCACTCCCAGGTAATGGATTTGGCACGCCAATAAACTATTTAGGGTTTTGGATTTGTCAAAGGCTGCATGATTTTAGTTTAGTTGCTCATTCAAATCCCTGACCAAGGGACATTATCCCTGACCAAGGAACCTTGTCTCTGACTCCAAATTCATTAACTGATAGCAAATGTAGGTAATACCGCTTTACTTTAATACTTTGCTTGATTATTGCCAAGCTCTTGTGCTGTAATGCAGTCGGGTCAGAACCATTTTTCATGAAAAGAAGTTTACACAATGATTTTTTTCTACTTTTCCTGTATTTTGAAGAATTTAAAGTACTTATGTAATGACCAGATTCTCAATTATCCAACAAGATCAGCCAATATTTTTCATATTGAAAAAGTTAATTATACGAAAACTAGGAATTCAATTATTAATAATGGTAATTTTACAACAAAACTTCTTGAGATCTTTTTTCTTGTCACATTTCAACCTAAAATTCAGTTCCTGAACTTCGATACAACTAGTGAGCATAATTTCAATAAGTCTCGATGGTTGAAGGACTCTCAACTAGCTTTATATTTATTTAGTATCAAATTATCACATCATTTTGGATTTCATAGCTTGTAATTAGGTCAGGTCACCCCTCGTTCTTGTGGCAGTCTTTAAATGGCACCTAAGTTTAATTGACTCTATTTTGATGGATTCTTATTTATTATATTTAAACATTTATTTATTTATTTATTTCATTTACTATATTCTTGAAAGTTTCTACCTTATGAATAAAACAACTAATTTTTTTCAGATAGAAAATATTCTAGAAATCGACAAACTCAAATCCATAATCCAAGAATATCGAGAGTTCCCAGAAGCTTACCGTTCAATAATTTGGGAGAAAATCTTGAAACTACCCAATAATCGTAAACAATATAATACCATAGTAAATCACATGGGTATTGTGGCTTTTGACAATTTACAACAACAGTTTCCACTCGAAGATAAGGTTACTATAAGATGTTTAAGGCACGTTTTGAATAATATTGTCACTTGGTGTCCGTTTTTTGCTGAAGTTGACTACCTGCCATGCTTTCTGTTTCCATTTGTGAAAGTTTTCCATAAAAAACCTGTTTCTTGTTTTGAGCTCTGCTGTACCATCATTATTAATTGGTGTCAGCATTGGTTTGAGTACCACCCCTTGCCACCAGTCAATATTTTAGCCATGATAGACAATATGCTAATGGAACACGATGCTTTGCTACTTCAGCATTTTTCCTTGCACAAAATCAAACCAATTTTATATTCCTGGTCTTTATTGGAAACGGCATTTTCTGAATTGCTCACTACACAAGGTTGGCTTATGTTTTGGGATCATGTTTTTATTAACGAACCAGCCTTTTTGTTATGTGCAGTAATAGCTTATTTGATGCTCCAGAGGAAGCAATTGCTAGTATTAACAAAAGCAGAGGATTTTCTTCATTTTTTCTACTCTCAGAGACCATTGGATACAAAAACGTTAATCACGAAAACCTATCATATTTTGAACCATACCAGCTCTAGCAACCATCCTAGACAATACCTAAGTATGTTTACGTGTTTAACTTGTGGTAGTTATCCAATATTTGATGAATATCCAAAAGAAGTTGTAAACTTTCAAGTGGAACACATGAACCATTTAGATCATCAATTGAAGGAAACTAAAAGCCTTAGAGAAACTATTTTAAGAGAAAAAGGAAAACAAACAAGATTGAATGAGATGGCTGTGAAAAATGAGGAAGATAGAAGAATGATTGGTGAGGATTTGATTTGACTTTTAGTTCAATTAGAATCGGGTATTTGTATACGTGACTCAAATTTTCTTAGCGATATCACGCATAAATATACATTTTTCATGTAAAAAAAAAAATCCAGATTGTTCTTGATGTTACAAAAGAAGTATAGTTTGAAAACAGAGAACAAGTAATGTCTGCCCAGCGACTCTGTGTCTACGGGGCAACGGTAAGTTATAAATCGATATTCCAAGATGGGAGGATACAATGACAGGAGCCCTGGCCAATAGCGAGACGTAAGGTGACGTTATCCCACTGACAACCGCATGATTCCCCGTGGCAACGGCGATTCTGCCAAAAACTCTACCAATCAGGTTCATCCAGGCTGAATGTTTGCCAAATTGACAAAATCGGATGGTATCTTTGGAAAATGTTCATTTTTTATATTAGACAAAATTGAAGAAATCAGCTATTAAAATAAAAATAGATCTAACAACCACGTTAGAATCATTAGCGTTTCATTATTGTTATCTATATTTTGTTATTAAAAAATGGATTTTCACATGAACTATACTTCATGCTTAATATTTTTGCTTTTTTATAATTAAACGTGGCAACATCGCACATTTACGTCCGAATTCCTTCCGTAGACTCAGAACCGCTGGGCAGACAATAGGTACCTACTTGAGTTATGAGTTATCAAACGAATTATATTTAATTAAGAAAACTTGTCGATTTGGAGAAACACTTTGTATTAAAAAATCTAAAAGATCTGCAATTTCTACTATTGAAACATCTGTGTTATCTCCAGCTTGTTTGAAGATTTGTCAAAGCTGAGCTATTGTCATCTTTTATCCACCGAAGACAACTATAACTTAGATATCATTTCATCCGAATTATTCCCAGAAACTCTCAAGTGATTTCTATGTATTCCTGATTGATTACTAAATGATTCCCAAAAAAAATGTACAATGATTACCACTAGTGGTTTACCCCTCGTTAACGTCTAATGTTATTGGGCTATTAGGATTTTTTCAATTAACAGCCAAGCATATTTTAGAAGTTGAAAAAGCTGCAATTCAAAAAATTAAAAGCTATCAACAAAATTTACTTAACCAACAAGAAGAATTGAAAGCGATGAGACAAGAGTTGATAGACCAAGAAGAAGCTATTATAGAAAATACACAAAAAATGTATAGAGGGGACATTAGAAATGCTGGAAATATGGAAATATTGACAAATGGCATTGATGTGAGCGGGAAAAACAACAAAGTAAAGAATAATTTTCCAACTTTTATTTGTTCGTTCATCGAAGATATTTTTTAGATAGACATAAACAATTTGCAAGAAGCCTACAAACTGGAGCAGTTGGATTTACTAAGAAAAAATCAGAATTTAAAACTGGACCGCACTTCCCATATCCTCAGTCCAGACTTTACTGATCAGCTGTCTTCAGCTCACAAAAAGACTATGGACTTGAAGGAGATGATTAAGAATGCCAAAATTGGACTAGAACCGCCTAGAAAAGCGGATGTTGTTTTGACAATTGCCGCAACAAACGAGCTAATTGATAAAATTAAACTTGAATTGGAAAATGAAAGGTTTTTGGACAAACATGATGACACGAGAGAGAACATGAAGGTTGGATTTCTCTTAAAGAAGGGTTTTAGCAATGAATTTTAAATCTCTTTTTTTTAGGTGAAACAGCTAGAAAAGGAAACTGAAGGTTTGCAGAAGGAAATTTCGCAGCTATTGAGAGTTTTATCAGAAAAACGTAGTGAAGAAGTATTACCTGCATATTCTAGTGCATCAAATGGCGTTGGTCCTAATAAAACAGTCAGATTTTCCAAGAAAACTAAACGCTAAAATGTAAATATACTGGGTTTTGATTAGGTTTTATAAATGCATGAGTACATTTTTATTTATTTATTAAAATTTGGGATTTTAACATTGGAAATGTTTATGTTTTCGCGTATATGGGGATCAAATTCGAAGTTTTGAGGACCAAGGCGAAGCGCAGTGCGCGGCAAGGGTTATATCATTATCTGGGCGGTCAAAATTGAAAAAAAAAAACATATATGAGGATTATAAGATAATGGGACAAAAATCATAGCGTTGAGCGTTTGTTCTATTGGATGGGGATTTCAATAAAATGATAGGATAGATATTCAATTCAAGTTTAATTAGACAGAAACATTTATTTCAAACTACAATTTTTGAAGTATTAATATTCAATACGCTTTATTAAAAATTAATTTTAATTTCGAATATGGATTTTTCTTCCTATAGGTACTCAATCTACAAGCCATGCAAGAGATTAATATTGATAATACCTAATAGTAAAAATTTGACAGCATAATTTATTTTTATGGATGAATATGCTGATGCAATCTATTTGATTAAAACTAAATGCAACTGTTAAGTTTTGTCCACATTGAGCCCAACTCTATCAGCAAAATGAAGTATATCAAGTATAAATTTTTTTATAAATTGTTTGTAAGACATTTAAATTTCCTTTTGATTGTACCGGAAAGCTATGAGACAAACAGATTTTTACAATACGTCAAGGTAGTTTTTGTAGCATCAACGATTACCGTTTCTTTTTGTTGGGAAATGTATTTTCGCTCTAACAGACTAAGAGCTCAGCCAGATTCGGAAAAATGGCGTTTTCTCTACTCGAAAGGTTTATTGGAAACACTTGGTTTTTTAAATACCATATTTACCTTAGTAGCATATTTAAAAAAAGATCATTGGCAAAATTTTTACAAACATCTGGATTTGAAAATATTTGAAAAGCACTGGGCACAAAAGGATGAAAGTATTGAATATAACTCAAAAATTGCTTTCTGTATCTTAGCATTCGCATTAAGGAGTGCTTTATTTGTCTATACAATTGTTTTTAAACACGATTTTGGAATATTAGGACATTTGAAATTGAATGTTGTGGAAATTTCGTTTATAAGTGTCTCAGTATATGTAAGAACTTATTATCTTTTTTCTGTATTAACATTTATACTTGTAATATTGTTGGAAATTCAAATGCAAATAAAAAAGGCCAGAAAACTTTTAACTCGACACCCAGATCTAATATTTATAAAAAGAGCACAACATAGATTCAATGAAATGCAGAAAGCATCTGGACTTTTCTCAATGTTATATGCCTATAACTTTTTGATACTATTTGCTCAATGGATGATATTTCTTGTAAACCTCTTTACTAGGTGCTATACAATTATCAAAGGCGACAGGGTAGATTTTGTGATAATTTTGGAATTCCTATGGAGGTTTCTAAGTTGTTCGGTAAGTAATTTGAAATTCTTTTAAGGTACAGTTTTAGATGTACAACTGCACATTTAGTAAGGATGTTTCCATTTTTTTTATTTCTGTAAGATATGTTTACAATGTCCTGATATTTAAAATATACAGGGTGTCCCACGATGTTTTTCCCAGGTAATAACTTCGGAACGCGTCATCCAATATAATTGAAATTTTGAGGATCTAGGTAATTTCTTGTGTCACTTCTATCGTCATCCAATTTCACCAGTTTCGCTTCAATTTCGGTTAAGTGACGTCAACTTTCGAATCCTAAATGTAACTCATGGTATATTATGACATTTATGGTTAGAAAATTAAATTACAAAATCGGCAATGCCATATTTGTTAAGGCTTTGTTAAAGAAAATGATAAAAAATTATACAGTGGAACATACGATGATGCTTTCCGAAGTTATCATTTGGGAAAAACCTCGTGGGACACCCTGTATATAACATTCACATTGTGATAGGTGGGTCAGGGTCAATTTAAATTTTTCCATTTGTATAAGCTATAATACATAATGTAACTGTTAACAAACTCAAACGAAGTGGACTTTATAGGTACTTTTTGGTTTTAGTTTGGCCAAATTGCTGTTACATTGGTAAGCGACATGGTTACAACCGAAGCAGACAAATTATTAAATACTTGCTACAAGCTTCAAAATAAATTTGACCATCAATCCTATCAGTACCAAGAATTGCAATCGCTTGTTTCCCATATTGCAAACACTGGAATACGTTTTACAGCTGCAGATTTTTTTGAAATTAAACTGTCAACCCTCCTATCGGCGTTTTTGACTTCAACCACTTACTTTGTGGCACTAGTGCAGTTTTATCAGATATAGAAGTACCCGAGGAAGTACCTAATTACATATTGATAACTGTTTTATCTAGAAATGTTACCACTAGGGCTCTTTTACGCTGGAGAGTGCGCACTCTTCAGTTAAATTCCACGCGATTGCGAAAAACGCGTATATCGTACCAATCACAGAAGAATTCTGAATGTTTAGAAAATCATAGTATCAGGCGCATAATATTGGATTCATCTTTTTACAACTTGGCGAAAAAAATATGGTCACTCTGCAGTTCTCATACTCCCTCACGTTCTATAGAAAAATGAGAATCCACTGGAAAGATTTTCAAATACTGGTAGGATGTTGATCATGACCTCGTTCTATATGACTTACAACTGTGGAATATGATTTGCTCAAATGATTTGCAGTACGACTAAAGCAGCCGAATTGTTTATATTAATTACTTTATACAAAAATTCAATGAGATGCAGACACTATAGAAGTTTAACAGCCGTATTCATAGTCAATTGCAGCGAGTCGCCAGGGATTCGCCGTGTGCTGGGCCAAATACAGCGACTCGCTGGCGATTGACTATGAATACGGCTGTAAGTGTTGCAACTAACAAATTTAATTGGTGCTGAAAGTAGTTCTAGTTACATAATACTAAAATTAACTCAGCGTTGCAAATAAATGTTTTTGTCCTTAAAATAACTATTTTATTCGTTACCCTTTTTGCCACGTGTAGAATCTCTATTTAGGTTCTGGTAACTTGATGGATCAAGGAGTTATTGTATTTTTCGTTTCTATAATATTCAGTATTAATAAGGAAGGGTCTTCAATTGCCATTAGTTCTTCCGAAAGATTACTGGTGAGAGTGGTGAGTGGTCGAAAAATGTTTGTCTATACCTCAATCTGAATCCACTTCTGCGTGAGTGTGCAGAATAAAATTGAAGCCCTAGAAATCAAGGGGGCCTATAGGATTTTCAAAGCAAAGATCAGAGCTGTGTCAATGCGAGAAGAAAAAGAACCAAGAGGAGAAGTTATTTATTGGCGTCGATTTAAAGAAGGAACTTCTGAAAGAATCACGGAAGGCTGTAACCAGAATCAAACTGGGGAATTTGAAAGAAAGCATTGAAGGTTCGATCTGGCTTTTCTGCTAATGGCTCCCAGCCTTCAATGGGTACCTAACTTGATCGAGGGCTCCGAATGTTACCGCTGCGAAAGAAGGAGGAATTTCAAACGATGAACTGCCAATAATCTGCGTTATTCAGCCAGAGCATGCCCAGATCAAGACAAGAGTTGCCTTAGAATTGATCAGCGTGAAATAGTTATTCCTGATGTTAGAAGTTTTCGATTTGATGCGGATCAAGAATGGAATCCCGATTAATTGGAAGATAGTGGACATCGACATCGAATCATTCAATTAGAGAAGCCGGGAATAGATCAACAAAATGTAGGAAAGAAAAATCCGGCAAACGAAGAAAGAGAGACCAGGAAGATTGGTGAATTACGAATACTGCTGATCCAGAAGCTCCAAAGTTATCCATCGGAGGGCCTCTTTCCGAATTCCCATAAAAAGAAGTGCTACGAGTGGTGCAACCATCGACAAAGGCGACATGGCAGTTAACAAGAAACAGGTAGCCATTCTTCCAGAATCTGTGACGTCAGTCCAAGAAAAGAAGAGCAACGCAAACATGAGGGTAGATCTGGAAGTCCGGAAGGCCGAACGCTCTAAAGTCGTTGCGTTCAGGTTTCAGTACACTTAGCGTCGGTAGGTACCTACCTACTCGATCTTGTTCTCAGTTTTCAAATTTTATAGCCTTTAAAAATAATCAGGGGTTTGAACTTTGAATGTGCTCTAACCACATCATACATACAGACCCTTGGCCCATGGCCTCGTGCAAAAACCTTATTAAATTTAACGATGCATCAAATCCGTTAATCGAGATTGGTCCTTTTATTAGACATCAGGCATGATATAATAAATAATTTTTCTCTATATCATCTAGCTTATCTTGTTCTAAAAAAAAAATCTATGTCCCTACAGAACTAATTACAGAATCTACATATCCTGTTAATAGGGCTGTTAGCACCATAATTTGTTCTGTGAAAAGTTACAGAAAATAAGGCTATCTGACGAGTTACTCTTTGCGGAATTTTAAGGAAAATACGTAAGAAGCAAATGAATAGATGGAATTATTGGATAAGAACTTGGACCAACTAAAGTTGCCTACATTAGAAAGAACCTACCTACCCAACTGGACTTGGAACAATTAATACGATCCAAGGTTTGTACTAAGGTGTCTTAGGTCGTGTTTATGTTGGAGCTGTGATACTCGATAAAAGCAACGATACTAATGTGAAATCATTAGTACCTATCGTTGCGTTTATTTTTTAGGCCCAGTTGTATAATCTTGGTTCAAAACAGAGTTCAGCTAAACTCGACTGGTACCTACTTGAACTTAGCCATTTAAAATGCATTGCTGTCAAAATTGATAGAATTTGATTAATACCTGACAGCAATGTATTTTAAATGGGAAAGCTCAAGTACCAATCGAATTCAGTTGAACTTTGTTTTGAAGTTTGAACCGAGATTGTACAACTGGGCCTTAAGCTGGATTTTCATGCATCCGTTTTTCCGACGAAAGATGTCCGAAAAACATTCTATTCTGACATAATCGTATAAAAATATGTCAAAATAGAAGATTTTTCGGACATATTTCGTCGGAAAACGGATGCATGAAAAGTAAGCCTTAAGCTGGAGTTTCATGCATCCGTTTTTCCGACGAAATATGTCCGAAAAATCTTCTATTTTGACATATTTTCATACGATTATGTCAGAATAGAATGTTTTTCGGACATCTTTCGTCGGAAAAACGGATGCATGAAACTCCATCTTTAAGCTTACTTTTCATGCATGCGTTTGTCCGTTGATCCGGGAGTAGGTATTCCTATTAGTCCAACACTTTGGCGCCAAAATATTGGACCAATAAGAATACTTCCGGATCAACGGATTGACGGAAAAACGGATGCATGAAAAGTAAGCTTTAGTTCTCAGAATGGTCTCTCGTATAGTGGGAATCATTGCAATTGGCACACACTCTTTAAAATCCCTCGTATTAAGGCAAAATTCTAACCAATAAATCTATTTAGTGCAGCATTTTGCTATTACTGTGTGTCAGATTTGACACATTACGAGGGATATTTATATAGTGTGTGCCAAATGTAATGATTCCCACTGTACGTCGGGCTTATGACCGCGTATGACGTCACGATATCCATGCTCATACCGTTCCGCTCCGTGGAGTGCAAAGCCGAACTCAGCCTTTGTGTCGTGTTATTGACGCACCCTTAGAGCAGGTAAAGGTAAAGAGGAGTAGTAACATGAAATTGGAAAATGAAGCCGTTTTTTTCCAGGTATTTTGGCACCAAAAAAATGACGGTATAGGCAATTGACCTTTTGTTTGGACGCCATATTGCGGTGCGCGAACATTGTTGCCAAAACAAGAAAACAAAAATTACTAGCGGACTGTCAACATTAACAACAAAAGTAACTAAATGATTGATCCTCGCTATCCTTTTTGTTTGTTTACTTTCTCTCTCTGGATGAAAGTAAATAGGTAGATATTAGCCGCTTTCGGGTGCAGGTCGGGGATTCTAAAATCACGATTCGACAACGAGACGATTTTTCCGACGATTCTAGGTTAGAAATCTCATTGGAATTATACCTTTTGACACGACAAGGCCGGTATCGTTGTCGAGTCGTGTGTCGAATCGTGATTTTAGAATCTCGGCCCAGAGTGCGAAGCTCGTAGAACACTTCACATCTGTCAGAGACCTGTCATACTCCATGCGTTTTGCACTTGAACGCTTGATACCGAACAGGTCAAACTGTAGCTGGAGTACTTCGGAGTAACTCAGGAGCGCTCAAAAGGTGGCACCCAAAAGCAGCTATTCTATTATTTCTATTCTGCCCAATACAAGCTAAAATTGATGGCTTTTCTTTTCAAAAACATACGTAATAGGCGGCAAATTTAAATTTTAAATGTAATTTATTCAGTAACTTTTGTTTTTAATGTTGACAGTACCCTAGTAATTTTTTTTTTCTACTTTTGGCAACTATGTTCGCGCACCGCAATATGGCGTCCAAACAAAAGGTCAATTCAATGCTTTATCTGTATTTTGGTGCCAAACACCTGCCACAAACTTGGCTTCACTTTATTTCATAAGCAGAATGGCGCGTTCCTACTCCTTATGTCTGTAGGACAGCGCTTTTCCTGCTCTAAGGACGCACCCATAAAATTGCAGGGGCTTGAGAGGCATTTGTGAGGGCAGGGGAGAGGAAAAAGGAACAGTTCAGTTGCGCGAAATTTTAATGCATTGGAACGCCTGTTAACAGCCCGGGGCGCTCTAGAGCAGCTCAGGAGCAGGTACCGGACTGAAATGAAACATCGGTTCCGGTCCACAGCGTCATGACACATACCGGTTCCGGTTCTAAGAGAAATATTTCGATTTGGTTCGGACCAATATTACGGTTTTAACGGTTCATAGGTGGTATAGCTTTTCACAAATTTAATAGGCAATTTTTCGCGAGGATAACCAAGCATAATATTTTGCTGAATTATGTGATATGTCATTTGTGTCAGCGCCGTAGCATCCATGGCGCCATGACGCCAGGGCCCACTAAAAGCAGGATAATCACTGGCTTGAACTCAATTATTTTAATTTGATTGCATCATGTTAAAAAACTTAAAAGCAAACGCCCAAACGGTGTTTTCTTGTTTTGCGATTCGTGCGGCACGTTCGACGCGGATCAGTGGGCGTCTTCCTTTAGAGGTTAACTGCCCGTTGACGGCAACGCTGTGCTGGCTGACCGTGATGACGCAGCTAAAAGTTTATTTGGTATAAACTTTAAAAGTTTATTTGGTATAAACTTCAAAGACTCGCGAACACCGAACACTATTGTTCAATATTTTTATTATGCTGTTGTGAATTGGTGATAGAGTTTCTTTCCGATGAGTAATTTAAATAAGAAGCACCAATCTGGTGCAGCAAAAAGATAAAAGAAAGCCCAATTCGAAGAATCAATCAAAAAGTTGCCAAAAATTCAACACTTTTACAAGTGGCGCAGCCAAACATTTTGTGTGGGGGGGAGCCATGCAGAAAAAAATATAGGAAAAAACACAGACCCACTATCCTTTAAACTTTTTATGATATGAGCTTTTGTCTACTTCATTATTTTACCATTTTTCTCTGAAGCCTTGGGGGGGCCCGAGCCCCCTGGCTGTGCCACTGACTTTTTCTATACTATGCCCATGCCCTCAACAAAAGGGAACTTGCAAGTGAACTAAAATTTTCCAAATTTGTTTTAAATCGATAATTTATACTGCACAATATTCATATGACCAGTTTTTATTTATCTGATATCGCCCTTCTCACACAAAAAATAATACTTATTTTGAAATAAAAAAAATCCCGCCAAAACGATGCTTCTATGATGGCTACCTTTTTTGACGTCACGATTCTGTAAACAAACCTGTCAATAGAGAACTTGCAAGTGAAAAAAACTTACAAAAGCAGTCCTGTACAATATTCTTCATCCATTGCGACAATTTCCACAAAAAGCAAACTTTAACACACTTGAATAACACAAAAATAGCACTGCGTCGCAGGAGTTTGTTAACTGCGTATTTGTTGTTTACAAAATTTTAACGTCACAAGCGCTGTCATATTGAGATATTGTGTTTTCGCGCCAAAGTTTTTGATTTGAATTTCAATAAATTTTTTTTCGTACAACGTATAAATTAAAATGGGAAAAAAGAAAACTATGTAATAACTGATCACTAGAAGTATCTAAAAAAAAATAATTTGAAAA